GATAATACAATAGCTCATTAGGAAGAGCAAGTGCAAGATACAATTTCACGTGATACAACTTTTCTCAGCCTAATACAACAGGCTGAATCTATCAAAATTCTTAAAGGAATCTAAGAAATGATTGAACAAACAAACAAAAGAGAGCCAGTTTGGTGTAGTGGTTAAGTGCGCGGACTCTAATCTGGGAGAACCGGGTTTGATTCCCCACTCCTCCACTTGCACCTGCTGGATGACCTTGGGCAAGCCATAATTCTGGCACAGCTGTTCTGGAAAAAGAGCAGTTTCTGTCAGAATTCTCTCAGCCCCACCTACCTCACAGGGTGTCTGTTGTGGGGAGGGGAAGGGAAAGGAGTTTGTAAACTGCTCTGAGACTCCCTTGGGTAGTGAAGGGTGGTGTATAAATCCAATCTGTTCTTCTTCTCTTCTGACTGCAATTGTGACTACTAAGTAATTGTTATCAGTATCCTAAGATGATTTATACACTCAGTAGACAAAGACAGGTATAACTCAGTGGTGTACATTTGGATACACCTGTGCTGAAATTAAACATGAAATTAGCTGTTTTCGGTTGGCTTAGGGATATCTGAAGTGATGTAAAACACTCCTGAAATTTTGGCAGTAATGAAAATTTATCTCTTAGGAGTGTTTTGGTTTTGGGGAGGCAGAGGAATGGGAAAGGACGAAGAGGAATCTGGCCCGTCAAACAGCAGTTAGTTGGTGCCTCTGTCCCTTTAAATTGTAAAAGGACTAGAAGTGATGCCTAACAAACTAACAGCTGATGGTTGGGTAGATTGGAGGCCAGGTCTATAGAAACTAATGGGGGGCCCATGATTTCCTGTGAGCAGACCTAGCCTTTCTATAACCCAAAGGAAATAATGGTGCCATCATATCCAATGGCAGTTTCAGCAACACACCCCTACTGTTAATCTGATTAGGATGGCACTGTGTGATCTACAAGCTGTAGGGGTCAGCATGAAACTATATTAAGAGTGGGGGAGAAAACACCCCAAATAGTGCATCTCAGCCTGGATTCTGCACTTCTGTTTACACCTGGGTGGCACACAGAAACAGGCACTTCCCCATTAACATCACAGTCAGGAAATGTTCCAGGTACACATTATTACAAATGACTGCAATCTAGTAGTGCTGCTATGTTTGTTATGAGTTACAGGAAAGGATACAATCCTATGAATACCTGGAGCTCTGGCTTTTGTGGCATTTAATCTCCCTGTAGATATGACAAAGTGACTTAAGTTACATTGTACTGGGGTACCAGTCAGATTTCATTGCAGATGCTTTGTCAAACTATGTCATATAGGTCAGGGGAACCCAACAATTTTGTATATATTTGTTTTGTTTTCCTAGAACCAGCAAGTTGGAGAAAAATATGCCAATAGCCTAACATGTCATGTTAACTCAGAAATATGTCCTGCTGATTTCAATAGGACCTGCTCCCAAGTAATTATGCCTGGGACTACATGAATGTGCATAATCAGTCAGTGTTTACTTGACCATAGAAAGGCATGGTTTGGAAATAGATTGCTAGGTCCCCCCTAGCCACCAGCGAGGGGTGGAATTGGAAAAATAAAACAAACACTGTCAAATCTGAAATTTCTTAAAAATGGTACAAAAACCTAGAGTGTGAACATGTACCATTCCATTATTTTTATTTACATATTTACAACATAGTTTTCTGTTTAGCTGGAAGCAGATTATAACTATAACAACTGGCCAAATAGCAAACTTTAAACTAAAGTTCCAAAGAAAACAAAGAAAGCACTGCATATACATACAAAAATACCAAGATCCAAAGGCTTAACGTAAATCAATTTCTACTTATTGTATTTCAGAAATAAATTATACAACAATAGGATGACACTGAGTGAAGTCCTTGAACTGTTTTTTTTTCAGAAAAAAGAGAAGTCTAAAGTGCTGGAGGCAATGGCTTGCAAGACCCTGTCTCTTAAGTCAGCTCCCTATGACCTATGAAGCATAATGTAAAAAATATTTAAGACATTAGATCCACATTTGTTTGGTTTGCATAAAGGTAGCAAGTTCTTTACAATTACAGCAAAAATGAAAATATATTCCTAAGAAAGTTCCTACTCTGTAACTCAGGAATAGCAGAAGGTTTCAACGACATGGTCCTTCATCACAGCACTTCCATTATTATGTGCCCTTCATCTCTCATCTGAGAGGCTGGCTTTTTTAGGACCTTGATGAAACTCAGGCAAATGTGAAAAATCAAGGATCCTTAACATTTAACCCACTATCGCACGCCAAGTATACCCCATTATCATTGAATGCCACCCAGGATAAAAGTAAAAATATAAAATAAGTGCATCATTCTAGATAAGGCAACTTTATTTATACCATTTATGATATAGGCAGACAAGGGAGAAAAAGGGTCTCTAAAAAGCACCAATTTTAATTCAAAGCCAATTGGCACTTTCTGGTGAATCTGTTTTTCCCTTATCTCTGTTGCTATTACAATACCTCCTCTGTTTTCTTTCTGGAAGCTCGTCACACACACTAGAGGGCCAATTTACACTTCACAAAGTCCATGTGTCCCATACGAATGTGTTTGGGAAATTCTCCATCATGAATATGATTCCTAAGTGTGTGTGGACCTAGTTTAGATCAGGATGCAGAGTGAAGATGCATAAGTCTTGCCCTGTACTATTTTCCCAAACTGAAGGGATACCAGGAAGCTGCCATTTGCTCGATAGGTAAATTTACATGTAGTGATGATTGCATGTAAGTATATCCAGTGGAGCAAACCATGGCACTGTAGTCTTGGTATGAATCAAGCCCCATGGGAAATGAGTTTCCAGCACAAAACCAAGTCCTTGTGGCAGCCATGTGAACATTCTAATATGTGCATCACATTTGGAGGAATATTTTTGTTGCTTCTACAGAGCATGATCAGGAGTGGAGATATGCTAGGGGGGGAGGACCAATGATAAGGAAGAGATTGCTTCTAAATCCCTCCTCCTCCAGTATACTTTCTTTCCTGGGTTTTATGTTCTAGAAAATGCAGGTTTGAAACAGCACAAGAGAAAAAAGGAGGGGGGAGTAAATTCGGAGAGAGGGAGAAGGGACAAAGGGTTATGCTCTTTTCCATGGTTTCTCCATTGCTTCCGGTGGAATTTTCCTCACTGAGCTACACACATCTGTGTGTAGGTTGTACCTGAGTTACTGGAGACCAGCAAAATCACCCTTCTCATTGGTTCTTGGCCAAATATTAGTCTGAGCATAAGGATTCCTCTGTGATGCTGTAGATGGTGCTGGTGTGTCACAGAGTCTTATTATTGTCGGAAGGGATATTTAATGTTCAAAAATATATGCTAAATTCCCCCTTACAGTTCAGGTTCATACTTTGTACTGCAGATCCTGATTGTTCCCTGGGCAGCCAACAGTCTGTGAAACTTGCCCCCTGACAAGACCATAAACAAAGCTGAGATGCAGGAATCAAAATACCAGATATGTATTCAAACCTCCATCTCCTAGCTACAAGTTTAACTTTTGTTTCAGCTTATATTCTTTAATTACATAAAACATAAAATCTAGAGCCATGGTGTATAAAACTAGTAAAGAAAAATTTAAAAGGTAAAAGGTAAAACTAGCAAGGCGTTCCCTTGACATTTCAATTTATTTTACTTTTAGTTTTGTTTAAGCTTGATCTATGCCACTTGTTCATCTAGCAGGGTCACCTTCCTTCTTTCTCTCCAGTGTAGGTACACAACAGCAGCATGGCCTTTCCTCTGCTGTGAGAAGGAGAGGTTTCCTTAAGTGTGACAGAAATACTGGGGTTCAGAATTCCAAAGGAGACTTGTGAGGGTCATCAGGCTAGCGAAAAGAGGTAGAGAATAAAGTTGTGAAAAGGCCTTTAAATGACCACAGGAAAACATAATCAGTACATGGAATGAGCTAAAAATAAAATCTGAACAACTCAAATCTTAAAAGCTATGTGATCCTCACAGCCTCAAAATACAGTACATAATTAGATTACCGTCACATATCATGTCGGCAACGACTGTCTCAAATCAGAAGTTACACATCAAACAGCCCAAGGAGAAAAAGCAATGGACAAGAACTGGTCAAAGTTCAGTGCTTTAACTTGAAGGTACTTAACTTGTGATGGTTTGTGCCCAATGTGATAATCATATTTGAGAAATGTAACATGGTAGAGGCTGACTGCACACATAGTGTAGGTAAGAAGTAACATTACAGTCCAAAAAATGAGCAGTTTTTTAAAAAACACTGCTAGGTAATGTCAACCAATCCAGTATCTATTGACTGCTAGCCAAAGCAGGATGGTAAGGTTTTTGATAGAAGCCTAAAAGGCTTCTGCTTTACTGACTAAATCTGAAGTTTGTTGTCATTATTTAAATAACTCTCTGAGTTAAAATCTAGCAGTTGCATTCTCTGCCATTTCATTCTTGAGATGAAGTGGCAAGCTACTCAGCTGAAACCCCAGCTGGATATCTGTGTTTTCCCATTTTCTTTCTCCAAACAAATATGTGAATTTTGTTTCGACAGAAGAATGTCAGCAACTGAAGGAAGAAAAAACCAAGGAAAGGGAAGGAATGCACCAAACTATGCATTTATTGTCACAATCCTAATCTGAAAGGACAGTGCAAAAGGATGTACTTGGCATCATCAGCAGGACAAAAAAAAGATTCCGGGGGGGGGGGGGGGAATGCTGCTCACCTCTATGATCTCCTCCAGTGCTGTCTTTCTTTCTTTCAGAATTAACTGTTTAAATCGCAGTATTTATGATATGCATCAATATAGCATGACTGCACTTGATACAGTTTGAAAAACTGGCATGCTTTCTGATTCCTTAGCTCAGAAATGTTCTCTGTAGACAGCCTTGGTTATAAAGAAGGAAAAACAAAAATGTCTTTGTTCTGACTGCTGTACATTATTTCCTCCACTGCGGACTGGCTGCCAGTGTCAAACGGTTTGTCTGTCAAAACAGGCATGGCTGCACGTACCTTATAATGTGATTCTGTCTCCTCTTCCTGAGTAGAACTGGAGGGAGATGGTGTAGCAGATTTGCTTCCGGGGGGTGATGGGGAACCATGGGTAACACCGCTCCTCAAACCCATCTGAGAAATCAGCTGTGACTGGCTGAGGGCACTCATGTGACCGCTTAACATCCCTGGTCGATTGATCAGGGGAACTTGATGGTTGGAATCATAGGAAGTGGCGTCTGAGTGGACCATCTCCTGGATCTGAGTTAGGAGAATATTACTTTTTAATTAAAATTGTATTGTATATTTTTGTTTTATAAAAATTACGTTATGATACAGATTGGGCATGTTTGGGTTTTATTTGGCTGCCATGTTAATCACCCTGGGAAAAACTAGTCTTTTCCATGCAGGGAAAACAAAACTAGTTAAAAAAAAACTAGTTTAAGGCATTAATCATCTTCAATTATTTCCTGTTGTCTGAACTGTTCCATTAAACAGAAGAATGCAATCACGTTGCAGAAAATACAGCAACATATTTTTGATGCCAATTTTTTAAAAAGTATACTATACAGTTAATATTGGCATATGTGATTAGATTTCTAATGTACTAATAGTCACATGGACAGTCCTTGAGATCCAGTTATCATACCTCCCACAGCTATGCTACTGTAAAGAGCTCTTGTTGCACTGGGGCCATGCACTATCCCAGATCCCAAATATGGCAGGATGGGGAGGGTACACAGGCAATTCAGGTCAACACACAGATTTGCCAGTTGCACCCTTAATATTTCACTTTTCAAAAGGCCAAATACATTTTGGTTAGCCATTTTATGTTTCCACCCCCCAAGGAAATTATGAAAGATACTCCTGTTTTTATTATGAAAGCCAATGTAAAACATGATATTGTAGGATGAAATGACAACAATACAGGATTCAGTTCTTGAGGAAATAAGCAAACACGAAGGGAAACTTTGCCCAAAGGACCACACAATACTTTAGAACAGAATACCAAAATTTGATGTAGTACAAAGAGCAAGTATATTTCTCAGTTCTGAATGGGTATTTCCAAAACTTGAAAATTCTCTACTTGCTGACCTAGCTAGAGATCTGAAAACAGAAAGTGAGGAAAAGAGAGGTTTTGACTGGACAAGAGTTCCCAGAAAAGGGAGCAGAAAGGGCAGCATTAATTTAAAGAACGTCCTATACAATAATTCTCAAGACTATGAGTGTTTCCTTAAACTGCTTTTATTGAAGGTCAAGTCCACTAATACCACTGTCAATAGTTATAAAAATGTAATTTTTCATTCAGTCTAATATAAGGTTTGTTTCTTTGATACAAACAAGCAGGCAAATCTGCTCTAAAAAATCACAAGAACAACTACTGTTTTTCAAATTTAAAAGTTGGACACATGCAGAGAATATATTCACCTTTGCAAACGTAACCTGCATTATCTAATCTTTAAATGTGGGTCCATTTTTTTTTAAAAAAATGCAAAACTACAGCCAAATACCACCAAGGGCACCAGAGATTAAATTGCCTAAGGCTAAGCTATTTGAAGTGAACAATTTTTAAAATATTCTGTCCAGTAACTGTGTCTCGTTTGTATCAGATAGGAGAAAAAGTAAGTTAGACGGTATGCATATGTTCGCTTCAGGGCTGTCTCCAGCTAGTTGATCTAACAAGCAGCCTTCTTAATGTTCAAATGTTCTGGGTATGCAATATTTGTTAACTCTGGCATTTCTGGCAATGTATTTGAAGCAACTCTCACCACCCAGTGCTAGCATTTGGATACCAGCTTTACTATAAAAATCATCTATCAGGTTTATAGTAATCTATATACCTAATAGTGAAGTATGGCCCCCATTTGAAAATACTTAAGTCCATGGATACATTTACACACTGACACTAAATAGATTTTCCTGAAAACTTGGGGGACCTCCAGTTTTGCAGAAAAATCTGAAATCTTAAAAAAAAAATACATGGGGCTTTAAAGATCACAGAATCATAGAGTTGGAAGGGGCCATACAGACCATCTAGTCCAACCCCCTGCCCAATGCAGGACCAGCCTAAAGCATCTCTGACAAATATTCGTCCAGTGAAGGGGAGCTAAACACCTCTCTAGGCAGCTGATTCCACCTTTGAACCACTTTGACTGTGAAAAGGTTTTTCCTAATATCCAGCCAATCACTTTCTGCATGTAATTTAAACCTGCTGCCAACTGGAATAGCTCCTTGCCCTCCTCCAAATGACAGCCTTTCAAATATTTAAAGAGAGCAATCATGTCCCCCCCTCAATCTCCTCTTCTCCAAACTAAACATTACCAAGGCCCTTAGCCTTTCCTCGTAGGGCTCAGTCTCCAGACCCCTGATCATCCTCGTCGCTCTCTTCTGCACCCTCTCGATTTTGTCCACATCCTTTACCATATAAGGGTTTTTGTATCTTCTTAGAAAACTCATACTATTCCAATATTTTAAAAAGGATGAACAAGATCCAACTACCTCCTACCTCCTCTTTCTAAACCACTCTTGACAGCTGGGAAACGTATGGGAAAAGCTGAGACAAGGTGCAAGGATCTGCATCTATGGGGACACTGCAAGGAATTCTTGGAACTTCATTGTGTAAATGGAAGGGCCTTCTGCTCATGGATTATTATGGATTGGAATCCAACCCAATAGCAACATTTTTGGGGAAACAGTTCCTATTGATATGAGGTCACGGAATTCAGCTATGCTGAAGTTATCATCCCCCCCCGAACTAATACACTAATGTTGCCCCCCCTTGAATGAATAATTAACAGAATTTCACATGACCATGCATCACATTTATTATGATTCATTTGGCTACATGAGCAAAAATACTACTATGATCTGTGCCACTGATTCTAGGAAAAGATAATACATCTGAGTGAAGACTAAACCATATTACTGCTGGAATTCCATAACTGAAATTTCAAAAAGTGTAATTTGGACCTTGAAAGGTGCTGAGGAATATGAATTAGGACTGCTGCATTGGAAAAAGGAGAGTATTAACCCCCTATATACCATTTCACTAACTGAAAATGCCCCCTTCCTGTTTTAAATCTCTGTAATGGAAAAAGGCAGACACACTATGAGTTCCAGCGCCCTTTTGCTTGAAGTGGCATTGAGGGTAGTGTTAACCCCTCTCTTTCATACTGCTGTGGCCCCAGTCCAAATTGCTTCCCTGCCAAGCTGCTTTTAAGAACCAAACTAGATGTCAAGAGTTCCAATCATTGAATTCTAGTATGGTATGTAATATGGCCCAGAAAAAAAGACAAAGATCATGCTGTAACAGGGAAAGACAAAAACAAACGTGACCCAAGTGCTAATACGAATGCATCTTACTCAGGACAGTCAAAAAGATGTTCTAAACTTCACAGTTATGAACAAGATTAAGACTTGGTCATTTTAAGGTAAATTGACATTTTCACTGTTTCATGGACACAATGGTCCTTAACGGGACCATATTATGGGGTTTCACATTTTTTCTACTAGTTGTTAACACTGTATTCTCTACCTGCACACAGAAGGTTGAATACTGATTAAATATACATTCCGCTTCTGTTGTAGCAATTCCATACCATGACAAAACATAAACCTGTGCCATGGTCACTGGCACGACTGACTGTTTAGCCAAAAGAAGTAAGCAGAGGCAGTATATCCTGGATTGTCCAATGCAAAGAAGAAGGGACAATTATTTTTACTTTATTTATATTATTTATAGTCCGCCTTTCTCACTGAGACTCAAGGAGGATTATATAATATGTCAGTGCAATCAATCTAATGGACAATGTAATAGAACTAGGATAGCAGAAATATGAAATAAGACATAAGTATCAAACAGGACATGTTAAACAATGCAAAAAATGGTATTACATATATAATGCAATGAGAGCAAGATAAAACCATACAGCAATATAAATAGGATAGTCTATAGTCCCATTCTCTCTTAAAATGTGTTCCCGAATCATTCTGTTATAATGTAGCCCTATTCCTTTAGAAAAATGCCCTCCTGAACAGTTCTGTTTTACATAGTTTGTGAAAAGTCAAATGTGTAGAAGCCTTCCTGATTTCCTCAGCTTGTGGGCACTGCAGGACATGTGCCTCATGTTGGATAAACAGGTGGCAGTGGTAGCCAGGGACATCTTTTATCACCTTTGGCTGGTAAGCCAGCTGCAGCCCTTCCTGGGCAGAAAAGATCTGGCCACTGTGTTTATATGTCCAAGTAACATCCAGATTACTGCAATGTGCTCTATGTGGACTTCCTTGCGTTAGTAGGGAGCCACAGGTAACGTGTCCCTCTCAACTGACCCACATAGGTAAAATCACACAATTAATTAATTTAGTATCCTAATGAAGAGGCTGATGTATTTGGGACACCCCCATTTTTCCTGCTTATTACAGAAATGGACCTAAGCCAGCTACTTAGGTACAATCAGATTCAGACACAGCGGAAACCAGCAGGAGGTAAATCAAACACTGTCTTAAACATTTTTCCCGACTTTTTGCTTTTTATATTAATCTGATTAATGTTAACATGAGTTTAAAGACCCAGGGCTTTATTTATTAACAATTTTCGTTTCCGATAAGCCCACTGAGGTGCAATCTCTCATTAGCAGGGGACTCCTGCCAACTCCATTAGCAGCTCATAAAGTAAGAGATGTAGGGAAGAGCAGGGAGGGCTCAGTAGGCTTCAACAGAAATAAATCCAAATGCAGCGGCAGATTTATTGCTACAGGTCAGGAATCAAGAGCTTTTCTACAACACTAGACAGCATGTTGAGTTCGGGTACTCAAAAGGCATGGGGGTGTAAGTAGACTGAGGAGCAGGAGTAATTTTTACAGCTCTTTTTCTGTATGATTCAATAAATATGAGGATGTGCTTTGTTTGTAAAAAGTTACATTTGTATTCCATTTCCACCCATCCTCCAAAGAGATCAGTGCAGCATTCTAATCCACTCTGCATCAAAATAACCCTTAAACTGTTTCACATATGCATGTTCATCACTTGATGACTGCAAATAATAATTTATGACGATATGAATTGAACATCCCAGACGGAATTGTCATAGTACCTCATACTGTTTTCGAGTTAAGTCATAAGCTGCCAGCCACCAAGTGACCAGTAATCAAGTTTGGAGTAATCAAATGACAAACATCTGTGTGTGAACCAGCCACTGCAGGCATCTACCCATGTGGGAGGAGCACCACATGGTTAGGCCTTTCCACGCAGTTCAGGCCTTT